CACATTTTATTTGTTCAGGTGGGTGTCTGCTTGCTCCATGGCCTGCTTTCTATAACTAGTTCCTACCTTCTCATCTCTCAGACATTTCTTCTCCTCATCCCTCAACCCACATGGCAAATTTATGCATAAAAACAAAATATGTATCCAGGAAGTTAGCTCAATGGTAGAACACTTACCTAGCATGTGTGAAGCCTTGGCTTTCATCCCAACACCAAAAATATCATTCATACTTATTTTGTGTCTTCCAGAAATTAAATCTTTAGTTACAAAATTCACTTTGTACTCTCATCATTCAAGTATCCCCTCTGGAATGTTTATTATGTTTCTTTTCTTCTTGATGAGTCTCTTTATTTTAATGTTATCTTTATTTCATCTCTAGCAGATTGGAATAGTCTATAGACTCTACCTTTGAGTAATTTGCTCTGTAATAGTGATTTGGTTACATTTATCAGTTTTTTTTTTCTATTTAGAAAGAAGATTACTGAGAGTGGTGGTTGTGGTGCATGTCTTCTTCTCAACAAAGCAGGCTGAAGTAGGAGGATCTTGAGTTCAAGGCCAGCCTTGACAATATAGGGATCCATGTTGCCATAATGCAAGATCAAGAGGACTAGAAGAAATCTTTTTGTTCTTTATATTATTTCTGGATGATCTGTAGGTAATGTTTTTAGCTTTCCTTCCCAGCATAATAAGTAGATAGTAAGAATCTCACTGTACGTCCCTTTGGACTATTTAATACACTGTGAAAATTTCATATTGAAATCTAGCATTTACCTAGGAAAATGGATTCATTTTACTGGTAAACCACAACAGAAATTGAGAATGTAAACCTAGCCTGTCACCACCTGTGTGATGAAGAAATTGAACATTTCATTCACCCATCAGTTGCTCTCTGTAGGTTTTTCTTTTATTGGTCATGGGACTTTAACTCGGCTTGGGGCACTGTTCCTGAGGTTTCTTGCTCAAGTCTAGCACTCTACCACTTTTAGTCACAGCTCCATTTCTCATTTTCTGGTGCCTAATTGGAGGTAAGAGTCTTGTAGACTGTTTTGCCTCAGTTACCTTCAAACCAAGATCCTCAAATCTCAGCCTGCTGAGTAGCTAGAATTATAGGTGTGAGCAGCCAGTGCCTGACCGCTGTCCATAGTTTTACCTGTATAGCTTGGAAATTCTCACCTTCGTTTCCTCTCCTGACTCACCTCAATTTTTGGCATGTTGGCTTACTCTCTACACCCTACTGCCTCATTCTTACCTGTTGATTGGGACCCATCACATTTATGGGCTCTGTCCTTCCTGATGAGCCCATCCACTCAAAGCTTTTCCACATCAACTTTCAAGACACAAAGCACCTTTCCAAACTTTCATGTTTTCTCTAATTTGTAGCGTTTAGATGTTTTTGGACCTGACCCCAAGCCCCTCCCTCCTAAGGACAAGGAATGTGTATTTGGCATTTTTGTGTCCCTAACATGCAGAAATAAAGCTTAATATTCATTTGTGATAGTCAGTGGCACATTTGTAATGTGATTTCTTTATGAATGAAATTTTTATTTAATACAGTAGGTGTCTTGTCATGAAACATTTTTTCCTACTGTTGATCCTTTTTAATTGTGTAAAAGCTATATGAAAATCTAAGTGTCATCCGTAAAAGAGCCTGAATTATAAGTGCATAGTGTGATAAAAACATTCATGTAAGCACCGTTTGTTGTGAGGAACAGTGTTCACATTGTGTAAGCCCTCTAGCCAGGAGTCAGGAATACACTTGTGGTTAAGAAAGTTGAGTCTTGTTGCAGTGAGGGACAAAGCTCAGTGGGAGGCTTGAAGAAGCAAGACTTTGTTCCCAGAGCATGCTGTTTGGTAGTGGGGTGAATTCTGTTATCTGCTGTGATCTGATGGTTCCTATCTATCCCCAGAGCTCCCATGTTAATCCTAACCTCAATGATGATGGTTTTAGGTGGTGAGCCTTTTGAGTATAATCAATGCCATTATAAAAGAAACCCCACTCACTGATTCTACTATGTGAGGACACAACTAGAAGCACTAAAGCAGGTCCTCAACAGCACTGAATCTGCAAGCACCTTGATTGTGGACTCTCAGCATCCAAAAAACTAGAGCAAGAAATTTTTCTTGTGTAAAGTCTGGTTTATTTTAGTAATCTGCATAGACTAAAACACTGGTTTCTTTGTAACTATAGCATGTGGCACCCTCTCTTGCAGGGCAGGAAAGTTCTGGTTGTTCCACATGCTCACCACCAGATGGCAGAAGACCTCTCCCTTTGTGCCTCTCCAGTTAACTATGTCAGAGCTATTCGCCTTGTGCCTTGTGTTAAATCATTACAAATATTTAGTCATTTTTGTTAACACACTATTTTTACACTTGTAATGTTTCTGTATTTGTATCCAGCATACACTTTTCAAATCCAAGCTTGATTTATCCACCACCCTCCTTCATCCCTGCACCCTTCCTCAATTCTTATCATTATTTTACTTTCAGGTTGTCTTTTTCTTTCCTTCCTTTGTGGTACTTCCTGGGGCATTATCTTGAGGCTTTGTGCTTGCTAAACAGATGCTCTACCTCTTGAGTCACCCTTTCAGGCTTTTTTACCTTCCACATATGAGAGAAGACATATGATAGTTGTCTTTCTGTGTCTAGCTTATTTAATTTAGCCTAAAACCTTTCACTGGCAAGTTTTTACTGCAAATGACAGTGTTTCTTTTCTAGGTTTGAATGATGCTCCATTTGCATCTATACGTAATTTTGTTGTTGGATGCCTACATTGATTCCATATCTTAGCTGGTGTAACTAGTGCTACAATAACCATGGATGTGCAGTTCATTTCATTGATTGATCCATTTTTTAATTTTTTTGGGGGAGAACCATAATGTCTGTACTAATTTGCATTCCCACTAGCAACCAATAGTACATAAGGTTTTCTTTGACACCACATCATGGCCAGCATTTGCTTAATAGCCATCCTAACTGGTGGGAGATGTCTTTGGTTTTTATTTGCGTTTCCCTGGTGGCTAATGGAGTTATATTTTGTATTTCTTGGCTGCTTTTGAGAAGTATGTGTTTGGCTCATTTTTCATTTTAAGTTGTTTGCTTGATATTTGTTTTTTTATTAATTTTTATGTTTTAATATAGTATGGGTATTTGTCTTTTATCAGATAAATAATTGATGAAGAAACTTTCCCATTCTTTGAGTTGTCTCTTCACTCTGTTGCTTCCTATTTTAGATTGATAGAGTCCCATTTGTGAATATTTGTTTCTGTTTCCTGTGTCTTTCCAGTCCTATCTAGAGAATCCTTGCCTATACCACTGTTTCATATTCTCTCAAGTTTGTGTTTACCTGCTCACTAATCTCCTTTTCATCTATCTCTAGTCAGGTAATAGAAACCATGTGTTTTCTTACTTTCTGTTTCCCTATTGTTAAAGTAAATAGTACTATTTCTATGGCTTTTGAAAAATACACCCAATTTTAAGTGATACTGTTCATATTATGCTCTCTTCACTTTTACATGTTCATTTCCTATTATTTTAAAGTCAATATGTAGAAAAATCCAGAGGTATAGTCTCTATGGTTCTTTTCTGGTCTTGGTCCAGGTTTTTGATTTGTATAGAATTTTAAATTGTATGCTAGAAATTACATAGCAGGAATTTTAGCAGCTTTGGGAATTGGTCCCTTCCTCTCTAGAGGATTTTCCCTATCTTGTGGTAGCTATTCAAAGTAGTGTTTTAGACAGCTCTTTGCTATTATAAGAAAAAAAGCCTGGGATAACTTGTATAGAAAAAGGTTTAGAGGCTTTAATTCATGATGGCTTTACCCCATTTCTTTGGGTAAGGCAAAGGAAGATGACTTACCTCATAAACATGGGCCAATAAGAGACAGAGAAAGGGACGAGGGTTCCTTGGAAGGCATGTGTCTGGTGACTTAAGGGTCTCCACAAAGCACCTATGTCCTGAAGGCTAGCCTCCTTTTACAGACCCCTCCATGGATACCAAGCCTTTGAACACATAGGCTTTTGTAGACACATCCCAGCCATGGCATGCAGCCAGCAATTGAGCCAATTCAGGTCTTCCTTGTAATCTTTATGAGGCAGGCTCAGTTTCTAGATTGACTCAGAATGCATTACCCAGGGGTTCCCAGCCATCAGTCTATGATACTTAGCCTGTTGAGTGTGTTCTCCCCGTTTCATTGCTTTCTAAGTTTCCCTGTTTTTGCTATGCCCAAGTGTTGTGGTTATATCCCACAGTGTACTGGCTGGTTTTCAGCATCATGTGGAGTGGGATTGTCTGGTCAGTGGAACATCCTGATTAATAGAATTAGTAAATATTTTTGTGGCCCAAGATGTTGTGAAACTTTCCTTGAGATTTATACATACTTTGGAGAGAGCTTATCCTTTTGGAAATATAGCAGTGCTCTTCTAGAAATAGTCAGTGCATAACAGTCTTTGTTTTGAATGAATCTTGGGATTTGTAGGTACTTAAAAATGTTAGTTGTGGACCTTGTTTTATAGGAACTTCAACCATAACAGGTTTCCATTCACCTTTGCCATGTGCAGACTCAAAAATGCTGAATTGGATATAGACTGAAATTCCTCATCCAAGGCCTGTGACTCAGTGGATGCACAATAATCTTGGCTCTGTCTCTTTTGACTGTTCCACAGGTGAGTGTTAATTGACCAGTGTCATGTGTGAAAAGCTCTGAGGGATTATCAGGGCATCCCAGTGAGTCGGGTTCTTAATTTCTAACTGGGTGTGGATAGACTGTGTGCAGCATGCCTGTGGAAATGTACAATTGTTCTGGCCATCCAGGGGGGTACACAGGCTTCCCCTCATAGGCCTATCCTGTCTGAGTAAAGTGGAGGGTAGGAGAACCAAGAACTCAGAGCAGCACAGCGAGAAGGGAGAAGGGCAATTGGTGTGATGGAGGTCATAGTCAGAGGGATGAGGAGGTTACACAGGACAAGGATAAAGGGCAGGGTTGACTAGTCAGATGCTAGGGCAGGAAACAGGAAGGTATGTTGAAGGTTGAGCTTGGTGCTCCATGCAGTGGTACTGTGGGCAGGCATGGGCAAGGTAGATGATGAAATCAAGCTTGAATTATACTGCATTCTTTGAGTCATTTGAACAGGAGCACTCTATACATTTTCATCTGCTGGTGAGATATAAGATGGGAGGTGGTACAGGACCCAGAGAAAAGACCCAAAGTCTGTCCTCTCTTCTGTCCAGTAGCCAACCACTGGAAAGTGGGTGTATGGTGATCGTGTCTCTCTGTGTGCTCATGTATGCCTATATGTTTTCTCACACCCTGTGGGAAGGCTTACTGTACCAGTGCTGCTTGTTCCTAGATGCAATGTGATCTGCTTGGTGAGCTGAAGAGGTTGCTTAGGACTCCCAGCTAGTATTGGGGTGGCAACCATTTGAGTGCCATGAAACCTGATATTTACAGTGGCATGGGAATGGAGGCATTTCCAAAGATAACTTTACTGGCCCATACTCATTTTTTCCTACAATATTTCTGGTTTGTTTGCCTTTCTAAATGTTTATTAGTGTATGTTGTACAGAGGGTGTGATGGCATACAGTGTACTTTGATCAAATTCACCCCCCTGGATTATTCTTCCTAAAACCAGCCTTTTTTAGTTCTCCCTTCATTTTCGTTTGTGTTGGGTTTCATTATACAATTACACACACACACACACATACACACACACACACACTTCTTCAGTCACATTCTTAGCTCATCCGTCTGTGTTTTCCCCCCATTGCCTTCACTGGCTTTTTTCCCCTCCATATACATGCCTTGGTGCAATCATACTTCTATCAACATTATAATTACTATTGTGGATCTAAATCCTGCCGAGGAACAAAAACACGTCATATTTGTCACACTGCCCTTGACTTTTATCTCAACATGATGATCTCCAGTTCCATTGTTTTTTTTTCTGCAGATGATATAACTTCATTCTTCACCAGACAAAGTTGCATTCTGTGTCTGAGTCAATCAATTGGTTACTGATGCAGCCCACTACTGGCCACATATTTGTGTGAGATTGGCCTCTGGATACAGTTGTTGGATGTCATTGATTATAGGCGAGGCTTACCTTGATATTTCAAGGTTATAAGAGAAGTACTACTAAATACTAAATGGACTACTAAATGGAGAAGTACTACCCAACTTAGACTAGGATCTGATAGGTAGCCATGAACCCAGCATGCAGTTCAGTTTGCCATGTGAGGATGGCTATGGCTAAGTTAGATACTGCTTTGGTTTGGTGGGCAATTGTGTTCCTTCATTTCTATATGTTTGCACTGACTTTCATTTTCCTGGTAACTGCCATTTGTAAATAGCGTAGGTGTACTTGTATGTCATGACATGATCTATGCAGGTGTCCTGTGAATTTTTTGTATTGCAATGTGTTGTTCTATTTTGTCACATAATACAATAAACTCTGGACTGAGGGGTACTCATATATGGGATCCTCAGAGAGGCTATATTCATTAAGAGGTAGACATGGATTATATCACACATATTAGTCTTTGTGTTCCTACTGATCTGGACATGGCTGTATTTTGGTGGAGACCATATGCTGCATCACTTCTGATCTAGAGGAAGCTGTTGTAGGTGGCTGTTTGCCCAACATCAGCAGCTTTTGGACTGGGTGTGTGGGAACAGGTAGCTTAAGACAGTGGTTGTCCATTTGGATGGGCCCTACCCATGCACAGATTGCTTAGGCTTTTCCCTGGGGGTCAGCCACCTTTTACAGGAATTGTCTTTGCAGAAACACCCATGCTTACATTGTTCTCTGGAACAGCCAGCTTTGTGATCACAGAGCTCACTTCTAAGGAGTGATATAAAAGTCGTGTGTTAATGGGGAAACGGGTTGGTGGTAATGGGGTGGGTTAGGGAAGAATTTCCAAGTTGACCATAAGCTCTGATATATAGGCCTCAGTGCTGAGAATTGCTTTCCATCTATGTAGCAAAATGGCCAGGGAGGTGGTGGATGGGAAGATGCCCCTGATCTTTTGGTTTAGTATTTCTCCAAGTAGGATACTTGAAGGCTGGGAAGAGAGCATTGTCATAAATAGGACAAAAGCCAGCCATTATTGGTGCATTCATTCTTGGCAGGACATCCTCAATATCTACCATGCTGCATCCGTGTACTCCCATAAAGTTGCTTTGTGTTACATCTGTATTACATGCTTTTTTTTTGTGGGGGGTGGGTCCAGTTGTGGAGCCTGAACTCTGGGCCTGGGCGCTGTCCCTCAGCTCTTCAGCTCAAGGCTAGCGCTCTACCACTTGAGCCACAGCGCCACCTCTGGCTTTTTCTCTTTTTGCTTATGTGGTGCTGAGGAATCGAACCCAGGGCCTCAGGCATGCAAGGCAAGCGCTCTACCACTGAGCCACCTTCCCAGCCCTGT